CGCAGGGCTCCGGAAGCTCGCGTCCTCGGGCCGCCCCCGGAGCGGTTACTGCAGCGAGCTCGTTACGCGAGCGTTTTGCAAGAGGGGACCAGAAAAAGTTGTACGTGTTCTTTTTTAGTCCCGTGTGGGTGCAGGAAACGAGGCCGGGAGAGCCGCCTCCTACTGCGAGGGCCGCGGGCCGGCGCTGGGGGCGCAGGGCGTCCTCCAGGTCCGGGGCTTGTAGCTGCCGGCTCGCTGGGCTCCCTGGGCTCCCTGGGCTCCCTCCCGCCGTCGCTGGGCTGGGCGCTCGCTGCTTCTTGAGGCTAGTCTTAGGCAGTTTGCTCAGGTCGCTAAAATGCTGAGTGTAGGCGAATGAAAGGTTTATTGTATTTTTTAAAAAACAATTGTCTAATCTCTCATTTGCACTTTTTTTGAACCCGGAGGAAAACGATGGTCAAAGGGGTGTTCCCGAGGTATAAATGGTGTTACACGCTAAGCAGATGTCAAATCTTAGCGGAAAAGATGAACAGAGCTCGAACCCAGCACATGACTGACATTATACAACTAGCTCTCTACTTAGTCCAAAGAATCTATTCAGTTGCTCACCATCGATTATGGATGAAGTTGGGCGTCTAGAAAGGGCCCCATGATTGACTCCTGTAATTGGGGCCAAAAGGAGCCATCCTCAGCTGCCTTGAGCTAGTCTCCACAAAAACAGCTGTCTTTGGGCAGAAGACTGGCCCTAAGACCTCGGCCAGGGTTAAGCTCCTGCCATCCTGTAAGGTCAAGTTGTTCTCTGGTCCTTAGCCCTGAGTATCAGAGTGTCCCAAGGCAGGGATCCTGTCTTAGCATCTGACTCGGCACAGAGAAGTAGCCAAATGGTTGCCAAATGAAAATGCATCACCTTAACAATCAACAAATGGTATTTACTAAGCACCTACTGTGTGCCCTGAGACTCAGTAATGAGATGCCCTTACTCTCCTAGAACTTATCTTCCAGTTGGGAAACAGACACATAACAAATACATAACACGGAGTGAAATAAAGTTCAGAGAAAGCCTCTCTGACAATGTGACATCTGTAGCAGAAAGAAATGAGCAAGCCACAGATACCCGTTGGCTATGGGATCTGGCTCGCAGTTGCTGCAAAAGGTGAATGATAAGCCCACCACGCCCGGAGGCTCGGATGTGAGGAAAATGATAAAGGATGAGAAAGGGTGTTCTGGGCGGGAAGCCATTATGAAACTGTAAGACATCTGTCTCCCCACAGTGGCTGCCCTGAGCCTCCACATCAGTGCTCACCAGTGTCCTGCAAGGGACCATGCTTCAGGTAGGCAAGTGCATTTGGAAGTTCTGTGACTTGGAGCAAATATGGCCTTTACTGGCGTGGCCCAATTAAGCTCTCTGAGCCTTAGTAATCCCATGCTAACCCACAGAGTGCTGGAGACAGAACATCCAGCACTTAGACCATCCTGCGCTCCACGGCCGCTTCTAGATTGGAAACAAGTTCAGAATGTGACACCTGCATTTATGCCACTCTTCCCTCTACTCCAAGTTGTCATGTAGTGCCCGTAACCTCCGCTGGACTGGTAGCTCCTTCCATTTCCTCTAGGTCTTGCATGTAGTAAACACTCAATAAATAGGAACTCAATAAAAAGTCAGTGAATAATTACCTCTATTCCAGAAGGCCATGGGGTCTAGAGCCTTCTCTCTTCATAACTAATGCTGTCCCCTTAGGCCTTGTAAAATAAACAGGTAGGTGTGTCAGAATGACCAAAGCTGCATCCCGGCAGGAGCTGACCTGTGCAGATACTGGGCTCTGCAGATGCAGAGGACGGATTATCATCACAAGGAGCTGGGCTAACTGCAATGGGGAACAGTTGGGGATTTCTTTCTTGACTGAATTCATCAGAGAGCTCAAACTGCTGCCTTCAGTTGCTGTTTCAGTTTCATTTGAAGATTATGTTATATATCTGCTCCTCCCCGTCTCCTTCAGCCAAGAAAGAAATACGCGAACAATGAGATACTGTGCTCTGGTAAGTATATACCTCCTCAGACTGGTCTGCAATTAGAATTTCAAAGGTTCACACCTCTACCCACCATTTCTGGGGTTCACAGGCCCATAATCCTCTTTAAATTTGAAACCATGCCTGGGTGCAAACCATCTGCACCTCTCATTTTCTCAAATACTGTGGAAACCATTCCTCGATACCTGAAAAGCAAATCGAGTCTGACGTGGGCAAAACTTAATGCTGTGGTTCTTTGCATGGAGCTGCTTGGAAATAGACACCGTAGTCTCCAAAGCCAGGAAAAACATACATGCAGACGTGTGTGCCCAGCTTCATATAAGGCAGGCATCATCTTTGCTGCCGTCACTACAATCTCATTAAGAACTGTGCAACACCCCTGTACTCCTCACGCCTTTCCTACTCTGAGCACTGCTGAGAAGGGGTGAGACAGTGGTTCTGGCAGGATTCTCTTCCTTGAAAAGAAGACAGAATATTGGTGGCCTCTGAACAGTGATGACCCCACTGACCCCACTGTCATTGGGGACCTGGCTCTGAGTTACACTTCTAGTTGCAGGCCTTACTCTCTTGCCCATCTGCCTTATAACCAAGGGGGTACATGCGGGAGATGACAAACGAAGAGTGAGGAGTGGGAGTAGGGAGTCATGGCTGCTCTCCAAGCTCAGGAAACCAAGAAGAGCTGCTGGTGCTCTGGGCCACAGTCTGCCAGTGGCAGCAATCATGAAAGCCTCCCAGCACCTGCAAGGAATGGGGCAGTGGATACAGTGGCAAGGGAACATGCTTTGTGGTAAATGGGCCTGGGTTTGAATGTCTACTCTGACATTTAATAGCTTACTTTCTTTAGTAAAACTGTGTTTCAGGTTGTTACTGAAATGAAATGGTAACATGGATAAAGAGGTTGACATGCCGTGTGAATAATCAACCACTGTGAATTCCCTTTGAACTCTCTTTTTATGTGAAGTATGACTATAAATATATCTCCTTCATTCCGCAACTCAACGCTCTCTAAATTAGTCACCTGGAGGAGGAGAAGGGAGGGCCAAGGGAAGACCACACAGTAATCTCCCAGTCTGGGATCTCGGATTTGGGATACATAGTCTTCAGAGACCACAATTATTCTCAAGAGTATCCACTGTCAGCTCAGGTCCATTAGGGAGGGTTTGAGTTTTAGGATTAAATAAACAGTATCTAGAGTCAAAGAGGCTGAATACTAATCAATTAGAACTGAGTGGACACTATAAAATAAAAGCCCTGTTTTCATGAAACATAGTTACTATATAAAGGAGGATATTCTGAGGCCAGTAGGTGGCGTGGTAGTTAAGGTGCTGGATCTCACAGAGCCAACTCCACACTTAAAAAGTTCTGGACCCAGCAGTTTGAAAAACATGCTGTGTGTGTGTGTGAGTGTGTGTGTGTGTGTATGTGTGCGTGCACATGTGCACACACTAAGAATTTTGAGAGGAGAAAGGAGGTGAAGGGACTGTGGCATGGCCATCCTCTTGGGTGTGTGTGTTGGGGGGGTAGATTTCTCACTTTCCTTCTCTCTCTCTCTCTCTCTCTCTCTTTCTCTCTCTCTCTCTCCCCCCTCTCCCTCTCCCTTTCCCTGGCAACCACATGTGCCCTATCGCAATGAATGAATGAATGAATGAATGAATGAATGATATATTGAATTCCAGGGGATAGAACAGAGTCTTTTGCCAGAGAATGGGTTATGGACTGATTCTCAAAAGACCTGGGCTCACATCTCTGCAGTTATAGACCTTGTTAAAGTAGTTGACTTCTTTGAGCCTCGGTGTTCACGTCTGTAAAATGGGGACAATGACCATAACTAATCTCTCATAAGGCACATAAATTGTTTAATGGGGGGGTCTAAGACACCCTAAGTAGGCAATATTTTTCAGATATTATTATGTGAACATTAGAAACTTTATCTGGAGATAGATATTCTGATATTTCTTTTTTCCTGCTAATTTTGCCAGGGAACATGTGTGCTTACTAAGAGAGAAAGTGAGGTAGTATGAAAGCACCCCCAAAGAGAGTGGCCCCTTTTCCGCCATTTCTCCCTCCCTTTGGGATCTGGGGCACACATGAACACATGCCTGGTGTGTTTTTCAAGCTGCCAGGTCCTGGAGGAGAAAGGAGGTGAAGGGACTGTGGCATGGCCATCCTCTTGGGTGTGTGTGTTGGGGGGGTAGATTTCTCACTTTCCTTCTCTCTCTCTCTCTCTCTCTCTCTCTTTCTCTCTCTCTCTCTCCCCCCTCTCCCTCTCCCTTTCCCTGGCAACCACATGTGCCCTATGGCAATGAATGAATGAATGAATGAATGAATGAATGATATATTGAATTCCAGGGGATAGAACAGAGTCTTTTGCCAGAGAATGGGTTATGGACTGATTCTCAAAAGACCTGGGCTCACATCTCTGCAGTTATAGACCTTGTTAAAGTAGTTGACTTCTTTGAGCCTCGGTGTTCACGTCTGTAAAATGGGGACAATGACCATAACTAATCTCTCATAAGGCACATA